TTAGTGCCAACTCCTTTTGACCAGGGCAACTAAACAGACGCAAAATTTACTATAAACGTTCGTTGCTAATGTGGGGAGGGGGGGGGGGGGAGCTAAGAGCGACCATGAACTTGTGACTCCCAAGTTGCCGGTGATAGTCACTTACCATCACGTGACCAGCCTGCTCGTTTGGCCCCTTTTATTATAAAAAAAAGAGAGGTGCCTGGGAGCAATAGTTGCGATGCGCCACGATGACGCTAGCTACAATTATTGACTAGTAATTACCGTGTGTACTAATCACCACTTACGCATGTTACCATATCAGTCATGTCCTAATTACGTAACGTTACGTAACGTGAGCCGATAAATTTCACAAAACGCTTTGTCAATTAATTCGTTACAAAATTCTGGAAATAGACGCACCACTTATTATATTTGGATTTCAGTTAAAAGGATTTTAACGCTACCTCTGCTTTTGTACATGACATTTGAAAAGCCTTAGTTTTAGGAGGCCGTGGAAAGAATTCCCCATTAAATAAAACCTTGCATGTAAAAGTGATTCCGCTACCAGATACAATGTTCGAAGGCCTTTGACGCACTTTTACTCCACTCATGGTCAAGAATGGAGCCTCTTTGGAGTGTTAAGAAAGATTTCTTTAAGAAATATCAAACTTCAGACCTACAAACAAACTATTAGATAAAGCAGCGGTCTCAGTGTGTTTCTCTCCCTACAGATTAGAAGTGTTAGCTGGGATCAATTCTGATGTCGAAATTTCAGCCCCACACTGCAAGTAAACCATTTGATTGTAAATATTTTCATCATTTTTTTATACTCCCGGCTAGACGGTACCCGAAGGGAGGACCTGGAATAATATGGTCCGGGTCCTCCCAGAGAAGGACACCTGAGGCCGTCGGGGTGGTTTTTAGTAGAATCACCACATACTCCTGGCTCCTGAGTCCTCGAGGAGCAAGAGTTCCGAAGAGGTTTTAAACCCCGTCAACAAAAAAAAAAGACGGTACCCGAAGAAACAGGAACCGGAACGGGAATATACACGGGAAGTTTCACTTTTTGAACTCAGTAAGTTGGAGAGTTCAAACTCAAACTCCTTTATTTCTTTTTTCTTCCTCCTCATTGTGAGGTTAAGTGTAGTTTTCCTTAATACCGGTGACAATTATTATTACAGTAGCGCACTCATCTGTAGAATTAACTGAATAAAATACTTGTATATGTGGTACTCACAGAAATAGTAATATATTATTACGATTTCTATGGTGCTAATACATAGTAAATGGGTCGCACATTACTAGGATACATGTTAACCCCACCTATTACATTAAATACTTGTGAGGTTTCACGTGTAGTAGTGGAGTATTGTATGGGATTCCACCGCGCCAATGATTATGCCATCGCCGCCCCCTCCAATTATTCAGATGATGATTTAATTATAAATATATTTCTGAGATGAATACATTTTACAAGGACTGGTATACTTATTAGGGATAAATAGTGGTTATGAAGGCGTGTCAAAGCGCCTTTTAATTAATCGTACCTTAACAAAACTTTAGCACATACTACGAGTACTCCTAGTGTGTGCTAATGTTTTGTGAAATGAGATTTTCTTAACTCCGTAAGAAAATATGAACAATTATTGAGCTCACTTACGCAGATAACATCACGCGAATAGTCTCTTATCGATTCATTATAATTTAACATCTATTCCCACTTAATAAGGTCGGTTATACGAATATATATTATGTTGGTGTCGTATGTTGTAATTCAGAAAAAAAAATAGTGAGTGGTGTATGGAAACGTAATGGTCGTGCCGTGTTGTTATGTCGGCTTGAGATGCAATGATACTAATTTGGGATAATTACTGTAAACTGCTTGTCTCTGTGAAAATATGTGTTTCCTCAATGAAATAATGTGATAATGCACACGTAAGAGACAATCCATCGTTTTACAGTTTATACAATATAAACACGTGGTAAAATTATTGGCAATCTTAGAGTAATCTAATCACGCATTATTATTCTAAGTTGGCAACATTGTAATTTTTTCTCGTAAAGAATGAACTCGATATTCAAAACACTTTAAATTTAATGATTTCCCAATCACATCAACAGCCCTTAATAGTCCACTGCTGGACATAAGCCTCTCCTTAGAAAAGATGTTTTGTCCTACTATACCACGCTGGCCCGACGGGTTGGTATAGGGTTTGTGTCGTTTCCTTCTCTCTGCAGTGCTGTTGTTTTGCGTAGTTTTTTCCCTAAGTCGGCTCTTACGACACCCACGGGATGAATAGCGGTAGTGACACTCTGTATTCTTAATCCGTCACCACACGGACTTCCTAATAACCTAGGCTAAGAATATAGGTCTGCGAGAGCTTAGCTTGTAGACAGGACAAAAATAATTCTTGGTAAAAAATAATTCTGGCATTTGCCTTGTCTCAAATGCAGTAAGTCGCAACAGATTAAGAATTGACTTAAAATTACTTCAACTTGTTCCAACAACATAATCTATTACTAACTGATCATTAAAAAGGTGTGGTATGAGATACAATTGCGCCATATTTAACGACACAAGTAAATCACATAGTAGTTGAAATGGAGCTTTGCACGTGTGAATTCTGCTCGTGACCCGACGTAGGCGGCGTGAAGTGTGTACCGTGTAGTCTCGCAATCAACTTGTCAACATTTGTATTACTGTTGAGGTGCTTTGTTACATTCGAAGTTTGAATTTGACGGATTGAGTTATTTAAGTAGTTATCACCTTATACCGAACAGATATAAAAAGATCTATGCCTAGGTTGAGGTCTAAAAGGGATTATGAGAATAAAACATGTGTGTTTTTCGATATTTAAAGTGTCTCTAGCGTAAAACATAAGATTTACAGAGAAAAGAATGACCAATGATCACAGAATATTTTGGCCAATTACCAAAGTCAGACGTATTTTATATGGATACTGTTATAATAATGTAAGCGTCTGCAATAAGAAAGGAGAATAAACGTGGGATGATACAGTATTTAAGATGTTTGCTACCATGTATGTTTATGTTAAAATTTTAATTGTGAATACAGCAAAGAATTTGTAGAGCTATGGACGACATCTAGTAATCTTAAGTTTATGCATTTATTTTCGATTAATTCTGTCATTATTTCGAAAATAAAACATATCCGTATTAGCGGAAATACTGTGTTGCGGCGGACTTTAGAAGCACGGACACATAAAACACCCGGACCAAATGCAAGTATCAATTCAATGAAAAATAATTTAAATAAAAATATATATCATGTACAGTACACTTTTTTTCCATGCGGAAAAACCCTCGGATACCACCCACCGGTGGTTATGTCGGTCTCGAGCCCGTCAAAAACCGCACGCCGTCTCGGGTACCAGTTGCCGGAGAATCAGGCGCATGTACATTACACTTGATTTTTTATAACGCCATAACAGTACATTTAAAAACTATTATAATCATGGAAATCGGCTGTCAGGAGTCGCGAAAATGTGTTTAAAAAAGATTTAGTCTATAACTATTGTTTATGTTAAAAACGCACCCTCGTGATCTTCAATAATATTCCCAGTAGAAACATAAAGCCTCTAATTCTGTTTCGTAAACAAGGACACAAATATCCACATTGTTAAAGCATCTAATAATATGATATTAATAACACATTATCATATCAGCAATCTTCATATTAGTATTTATGTACATTACAGTACCTACGTTGCCCACGCGCATGTTATCGCGTATCGAGCGTCCGCGCCGGTCACTCGACTTCACAAAAAAAGCCGCTCGACGTATATGGTGGCGATGATACAATCGCTTGTCGTACAAATTGCGGTTTATTATTACCATTCCACGTCCATATGTAGCGGAAAACATATATTATATTATTATTTCTGACTTGGGTAAATTAAAACTGGAACTTTAATAGGGATTTTTTAATAAAATCTAATATTAAGGAGAAATAAATGAGACATTTTACTGTAAAATCGTTATCAAGTAAATGTTGATGAATTTGAGCTGTATTAATTAGTGACAGACAATCATGTTGACAAATAAACTCGACACACCAGATATTAGTGGGCATGGCCAACCGAATGCTCCATCTGCACTCTCTTGTACTCTCCTCTCATAGAATATCGTGTAGAGTGATTCGTGTTCAATAACACAGAACATTATGATAGTATTGATATTTAGACTTCTGTAGAGAGGATATCTATCACAAAATCAAACTAACGCCTAATGAAGGCTTGACGAATGGTTCAATTTGAATATCATATTTCCTAGAGAAAGTAACATTCTTAAGAAACAATGTAGTAGTGCAATTTTTGCTCACATACCAATTTTCGGGCGGAGAAACCCGTGAAATGGCTATTCGTCACGGCGCCCGTCGCCTTTACATAACTGATCAATCTTTACAGCAACATGTTCAGCATCATCTACGGATTTGCTCAACTCTTGCCTAAAGACACGATTTAATAAACATCCTAATGTTATCACTATAGCCGTGCAACCGTGCATGGCCTGTTCAAGTGGTTAGCAAACCTCCAATCAAAAGGTCGTGTTCATTTTGCCATACAGGACATGTAGTTGTTTAATCTCGATCTTTTATCTATAATATACATGTATTTAAATATTTATAAGTATGATTTTCTGCAGTGTAATATCATAGAACAGCCTCTGCCTAGTCTGGGGTCAGATAAAATGATATCCGAATCCGATTGAGAGACATTTAATTTTCAAAAAAAAAGTAATATTTTAGAACTTTTTAAGTAACATTTAATGCATTTATAGCTTAATATGTGGATATTTTCTTACATGTCTCCAAAATTCGTTATAGTAAACATAACTAGTCGTACTTGTCACTTCTATCTAATAAATAAAACATGAAGTCATCTAGTGAGAGATGTCTCAACTCTGTCTTCACACCGTTTGTCTTCGTCCAAAATAGAAGCTAAAATGCCAGACTAAAATTGTATTTTATTGTTATTATTTTATACAGCAGAACTTACCAATGGTTTTATTAATCCAATCGGCCAGATCCTCCTGCAACGGGAACAGCTGTCTCGCCTGCGAGTACAGAATTTTCTCCCTGTAGAAATCCTCATCCTCGGAGCAGGGCGTCTGCGCCGCCAGCGCGTAGTCGGCGCGCTCGTAGCTGCTACTCATTTTCCTATTGACCACTATATCTCCATGACCAACATGACGGTCTTCCTCCTCCTTTCCACCTTCGAAGGAGTTTCTAATGTATTCGAAGGCATTGGTCCTTTCAAAAGCGTTGAAGATCCTATCAAAGTTGCCGCTGAGCGGGCGGTCGAAGTTCTTTGGTTCTACGGAGCTTGGCGACGTCACTGGACCCCAGGATGTGCGGCTCCCAATTGCTGTTGGCCCGCAGCGGTAATATGCCATTCTTTAGGCTAATACCTGTAACAAAGAAATCGGAAATTAAAACTTAAATAAACCAGAAGAGTGTGCAATCCAAGAAGAGAGTTCGGCGATGAGTCATAAAGTCCAGGTGCCAACGTTGTATTGTACGTATATGTTCGGTATTTATTACACGGGTCGAACGAAACGAAACGAACAATTAAAAGTATTTTTGTGCTTTGTGCGGTTAGTGTTTTGATTTCCAGGTAAAAAGTAGATCTTGGTGACTCGACTACTCTTAAACAATTTCTAATATTGAAATACTTGTTCGCTCATTGGTATTTAACAAAAAAAGGTTTATTTAAAAATTACGTTCAAATACAAAAAATGAATTAATTCATTAAGCGTTTACAAGAATTACAGTTTAAATACAGGAGTAATAGAAAACCAAAATGGCGAATAATGAATTAATAATAATAAGCACCATGAAGAGCTAAGGGTTAGCTGTCACTAGCTTTTCTGCGAAATGATATTTTTTTGATGGCCTCTCGTTCCGCCGTCTTCACCTAATACCAAACGATCAACAACTCAAAGAGCACGGCGCCTCTATTCCGCGGCTAATTTGCATGTCTGACAAGGGCCGTGTTTAACTGATGAATAGCCGAAGGTTGCTTCGGCAGACAGTAATTAAGACACAAAAACCGTGTTCACTGACATAAAAATATGGAGCCGATGACAGGCGGTAATTTAGGCGTAGGTATTGGTGTGATGATTAGATAATTATAAAGGTGATTCATTTTTGATAGTTTGCGCCTCTAGGCATAGCAATCTCGATGTTTAAGAGTTATATAAGAACAGAAAAAGCATATCTCGATGTAATCATAAATTTGAAATGGTTTTTAAGGATCGCGAGCACAACAGCTGTCGTGAAGAGATAATCAGATGACGGGCCTGTAAGAGTAAATCTTATAAGAATTTGATTAATAATTGGATTCTTATGTCTGTATTATTTTGAATGTAAACCGAAACATTCTAATAAATTATTTTTAACGATTAATAAGTCAACATTATTCCCTGATTGTTCCGTTTTGATGTTTCAGGATTAGTTACTTGGTTTGACTTGAAATTCAACGAACGTATTGCAACTTGTTCATGTAATCGTATCAGTGAAGGCAATAGTTAAAAACACAATTCTTAAATTGTGCACTCAGTGTAAATCCCTAACATCATCATAAAAGTATATATTAACAGTTTATGGGATTCACAGGCTCATAGAAACTACAAGATGGAAGTAAGTACCCAAGAACACGGTTGTCGTGTGTCGGCTTCTAGTAAACCGGCTCGCGCTTTGTGTGTATAAGCCGCCGGTTCGCGGCGTTTTGAACTCAGACAAAAACCAGGAGCCGCGGCTAGATCAGACCCGCGCCATATATGAGCATCAGGAATTCGTGATTCTGCGATACGTGCGCTATGGAAGCCGAGCCGACGCGGCGTCGCCGTGAAATACGCTTCGCGTAAGATTTTAAAACAATTGTTAGTTGTTATGTGTGATGAACAGTACTTAAAAGGAAGACCTAAAATCATCGAGGATCACAAATTTAGTAGTAGAAGGGAGTAGAGAAGCAGAGTTGCAGTAGAACACGACCGATTTCGTGATAAATACTTATTCTTTCGGACAATTCCAAAATGTAATATAATGGCAAAATTTTGATACTCTTAAATTCTAAAGAGCTGTAGTTTTATCATTTTATGGAAATAACGTATAGATATCAAGCTTATCAGTGATTCATCTCAAGGTCTGATAGAAAAAGTCGCTTTTGTGCCCATGCCGATTTCAAGAAAAAGTAAATACCGCAAATACTGTGTTTACAAGTCGGAAGTACTTGTAAATATTTTTCTATTGTGTAATTATTGTTCGTTATCTCATATTTAAATAGATATAAACAAAAATATAAATTAATAAAGTACCGCCGATTTCAATGCATCTAAAGTAATTAAGACATATAAAGCTTTTATTAGCTATTGCTCTGAGGATTAGAATGTGTTAAGGTTTCTCAGGTATCCTGTCATAGACCTATTTATATTGAAATACCGTGTTAGGCGCTCAAATTCCAACATACCACTTCAGGGTTAACCCCGATACCCGTGGAGATATACACGAGAAAAAGATATATTTTGGTGTAAAGAAATCGTAGTCAAGATGCTGTTTAAAAACATAGAAACTTTTGTACACATAGATACACATACATTTTGTTATTTAATGTAAATACATACACAAAAATGTGTGTCATACATTAAGAGATGTGGTGAGTGAATGTGTTTTTGTGCCCATGACACAAGAATCATATCCCAAATTCTGGAATAGTTTATTAGACAACGAAAAACCTTAAACAGACTATTTACCGACTTTAATTTGGCGCTAGTTAAAGCTTTCGTAACAGTAGTATTTAATATATGAAACTTAGAACATGTTGGAGGAATTCACAAGGCATCAGAGGGAAAGGGCGCTTTGTGCGCGTTGACATAAATACCAGACACACCGCAGCTGAGGATATTAGTATACGAGTTCGCAATAGCTGTATTATTTCTTTTGGTAAATGACATCGGATATGAGGCTTTGCGAATGTAGTATTTGTCACCGACAGAACTTGTATTTATTGTGTTGAGCACAAAATGTAAAGCTGAGCTCACATTTGTTTTATTCTACCGCTAACATACTAAGAATAGACTTGGTATATTGTAACTCTCTTTTTGGTTATTTAAATACACAACCTTACATTTTAGCGATTGTAGTTTAAGTAATTGTAACTATTTGTGGTTTTTTCGAAGATCATTTTCTAAATAAATATAATCTGTATTGTTATACAGATTATATAGCTATCCATTTTTAAAGATTAGCCGGAACAACCAAACAGTCACATCACAATTGTTTTAATTATTTTTACAGCCTTTAATGGCGCTGCTGGACATAGGCCTCTCCTTAGTTACGTTTTGGTATCCTATACCACGCTGGTCAGACGGGTTGACATAGGGTTTGTTTCAAGTTTTCCTTCTCTTTGCAGTGCTGTTGTCCAGTGTAGTTTGCTCCCTAAGTCGGCTCTTACGACACCCACGGGATGATTGGGGGTAGTGAGAATCCGTATTCTTAATCCGTCACCACACGGACAAATTGGTCAATTATTTACTTATCATTAATTCATTAATTACTATTCATTTGGTCTTTATTAAAATTATGAATAATAAATTAATTATTTAAATATCAATCCTCGCAGTAAACATTCAATGCTCTTAGTAAAAAGCTGCATTACAAATAGACACTCCAACTTTATTTACTTGTGAAGTAATTTAACGAATGTGGAGTCAGCTTAACATCATGTAAAGCTAAATGCGGCATCCATTGTGTAAAGGCCGACAACTGCGCGTGACCACGAGCTACCGACGAGGATCATATTTACGTACAAATATTCGTGATCTCTGTACGAAAATGTTGCAGTCGATGAAGGTAGAATTGTTATTTACCTGCAGGTTTATTAGTATTGGATGAAAAGGATTTTGATATGCGTGGGAATTGGCTAAAAGAGGAGTTAATAATTCGTAACAGGGTATTATACCTAATAAAAGTTTTCTTATTTTGTTACTGGCTTTGTGTGAGGCGTGGCATTCCACTAGAAACAAGCCTGGTGGGATCCAACTTGAAGTTTTGTCTTTCTGTGTTTTCAGTTACAATTATTGGTGATGTTTTGATCCCGGAGGATAACAGAAATGGTTGCATATTCCATAATATGACGCAAGATCTACATAATATACATAATGTGTGTTTTAATTATCAGGTTACACGCCTTGCCAGAAGACTTTTTTCATTTTTCCTTTAACATATTGAGTCGTGAGTAAATACAACAAAACATATAATTTCATGACATACTTTACATGACACTGTGTGATGTGATGTTTGAATGTTACTGTTAACGAAAGGTTTTTTTACTGGATGCTTAATTTATGGATTTAGTATCAACTGGAACGGCCCGGCACCGCCCCCCATCCAGGGTGGTCCCAACAGCCCAGTGTCACGGAGGCCACATAAAAATCGATCCTACATGAAATGGGACAATGTTTTGCATAGCATTACGCAATATTATGCACAATATTAAAGCTTTGTCTAGCAATATAAAGTCTAATTTTGTCTGACAAATGCGTGACGGTGAAGATCACGCGAGCTGGTGAAATGACTTGCGGGTTCCTTCAGTTTTGTCACGCGGATATATTATTTAAAAAATATGTATGTGAAATATTTGATGATTATATTTAAGTCGGATTTTTTACACAACTATGTTCGTGAAAAATTTCTTTTAATTGCCTGTAACATCTCAACTGCATCTCAAAAATATTAAATTACTAGGAATTTACAATTACCAGTACCAATTCTTAGATAATTTTATGCCGCACTTCCCGTTGCGCCATTTTGCATATTACGACTTCATTATAATGGTATATCAAATACAGGTTTCTTCTCTAGGTAATCTCGTAACACGTAACAGCTGTAAGCCTTAATACGAGTGCAGAGATTAGCTGCAGAGCGCCCGCTACCTATCCATCACTATAGAGTGGCTAGATTTCTCCGTGAAGGAGCGCGCGAGCGTAGGTAGTGCCCACAGCGATGGGCGTACAACGGACAACATTAGGGCTGATAAAGTTTGACACTAGGAGACATTTGAAAAAATATTCAACGTATTCATTATAAGTTTTAACGAACAAGCTTTTGGAGAAGGCAAAAGGTTTCAGGTTTAGGTATTAAAATTCCTTTAACTGTAATTAATGCAATGTTTTATTGTACGAAATACCTATATGCATCTACATATCGCATATAGCTCTTACATATGGAAGACGACTCTCGTGTCTACACAGTTAAGTGCAAAATAATAAAAAATAGTTAAAAATTTATCCCATTTTCAGAAGACAAGAAAGACCATTTAGGTACAAGCAAAATTAGATGGCTAAGCTGTTTTTTTTTAAGAATAAATATAATTATTTCGAGTGATAATTTTTAT